AGCAGTTATTACCTCTTCATAAAAGCATTCATTCTCAATGTCCCAAGACAATAAGTGTACCAATAATAACTGACTGTGAAACCTCTTGTCCAGAGAGCAAACAAAACAAGGGTTTCAGTGATTTGTTTATAAGTAGATCCTGTGTCAGCTGGTGATACCATCACACGTTGTGTGACAGGGAAAGGTGGATTCACCCTGTGGCTGAGTGGATTCACCCTGTGGATTCGCCCTGTGGCACTGTGCTGATCCCTGGAATCCCAGAGCAGGCAGGGCTCACCCCACACTCACCTCTGTCACTGTGCAGTGAAACCATCTGGTTTGTGGGCCCAAGCCATGGTGCTGTCACTTGCACATGTCTGTCTTCTGCCAAGAGGAAGGAGATTTCTGCTGGGGAACTTAAACTCTAAAGAGGAAAAAAAACAAACAAACAAACAAAAAAAAAACAACAAAAAAAAAACAAACAGAACCAAACAGACAAACACAAAACCCAAGTTATTACACAACAGATTTTTTTAATCATATAATATCTCTACTTGGAAGTGACCCATAATCTTTTGGTTTTTCTTTGCTTTACACTCTCCATTCCTCCCCTCCTTTCCAACAGACATTTATTTATGTCCACACACTCACATACTTCCCTTTATGAGGGGGAGAAACTTAAGAATTGATACTCCTTGAATGCACACTCTTTCTTTATTTTCTGTGTATGAACAACTTATGTACAATTTATACCTCTATTTGGTTAATTTTTAATTTGTCTAGCTGGGTTAAAATTTTGATTTTGGGTGCCCTGGAATTGGAATGGCTTGGTTTATGGTCAGTGGGACAGAAGCAAAACTGTGAAAGAGAAGAGGAAAAAAAGCAAGCAGACATTATATTCTCAAGTGAGGGAAGACAGCCATAGAAAGAACAAGATTCCCTAGAAGGCCTGAAAGAGCAGAATTGCCCCTGCACACTACTGACCTAAATGGAGCCTAGGAGTCTCAGCTTTACAGGGAATGGGGTACAGACTGCCATGGAAGCAGTAATGCTGAGCTGTTCAGTGATTTGATGTGATATCTCCACCACAAAGTACAGACCCCCGACCTCCTTTTCTTCCACTGCAACAGGAGTGATGGCGTCAGGTATCAAAGCAGTTTTCCTGCATCAGGAGGACATATCTCTGATCTGAAATAACCCAGAGATGGGAAAATGGCTGGAGTCAGGGCATTGTGCAGCCAAAAATAATCCATTTTGAGTTAGTGCTGGATGTTTGAGAATGTCAGAGTGACACTACGCAGGGATAGACTGCTGTAGATGGCACAGGATTATTGATTCAAAATTACCTTGCTGAATTCATAGCATATTTAAATGATAGCACTGCATTTGAACTTCCTCTTCTATATGAAAGCAGAGATATGCACATGCTCTGTTCCTATCCAGGACGTTTCCTTTGAACCATCTATCCAGCTCATCTCTTATCTGACATCATATTTCTCTATTTTCTCTCCACTGTTGAATACCTCACTCCTTCAGGAGCAGATCCACTGTAAACAGGGGCAGCACACAATGAGCACTCACTTCACTGGATACAGAAATGGATTCACCATTTAGAATCAGCTGGACTAATTATTACAAACACAACTAAAAACTGTGATAGTTTCTTATTTATTTTGGCACGGTATTGCTCACCCCTGCTTCTCCTGATAACCCTGCTCCTGCTGTTTCCTTCTTTGATCTAGCAGAACATTTTAATCTTCTTTTCATTCTGTTTTGTTTTCTGCAGGATTACCTCTTAGTTAGATCACTAACCAGGAAAAAGGCATGACTGTTCCTCTGTGCAGCAAGGTACTCTTAAAAGAGTTTAAAAAACATAAAAGCACACCTTTTTATTGAAGTCTAAAAGGAAAATGTTGAAAGTTCAGCAGCTTAATCCTAAATAAATAGAATGTAACTAATTTAATTATTTTTCTCTAAGTGCTATCCAGAGTCAGGGTACAGACATTTTTAGGTTTAATGCAAATTTTGCACAGACAGTTTTTTTAAGACTCAGCATTTCTAATTTTTGTCCTCAACAATGATAAATAGCAGGAATATTTTTCAGTAAATGCTGCAAGGAACATTGGAAATATTGGAAATATTAATCTTTCTTCTCCCCAAACCTAAACAAAGCACCACTTTCTATGTGCTTAATACTACATTTGCCTCAGATTCAATTTCTGAAATAACATATATACAGCACTAAAAAATGAAGAATAGTGATTTCTTTTTCTGAAATGGTAGAATTATAAATAATTTAGCAAAACATTAATACAGAAAAAATTTTTACTATTTGTATTTTATCATTGAACATGTCTTATCCCACAGCTTGATAACAAATGATCTGGTAATGTATTAAAGAACTTAAGGCTTTCAAGCACACACAGGGAACACAAACCAGAAATGGAGAAAAGTGACTTCTAAAATTACACCACACAACATATATTCCCATATCTCACTTCATTCCTCCTGTTCTGTGGCCATGAAACAACCTTGCTTGCAGAAGCCACCCAGAGACACTGCTTCACCTGAAGAAGCTCCTAGGCTTAGAGAAGCACATTTGCATTGAAATCTCCTTGCTCAGCATTAGTCCTTATTAAAATTCCACTGAATCCTCAAATACCCACTACTCCTGCAGAGACAGCTCCATTCTCAAAGATGTTTCACCTCTTCTGCACCTGTGGTTCACTTTTTGTAACAAAGGCATTTTGACTACTTTCATTCTGCAGTTTCTTCCAAGCTATACTGTACGTGTATCAAAATGATTCAGGGTCACTTTTCAATGCAAAGATGGAAAAATTTAAGAATGTAGTGGGCAAATCAGCACTCTCCACTGTTGCCTGATTCCATGGTAGCTAGGGAAATCATCCTGCCCTAGAAAAGCATTGCAAGACATACTGATCCCTTATAGTAAACTTGTTCATAGCAGCTTACATGTGGGGAGATTCTCAGCTCTTAAGAGGCTTGTCACAAGATTTTCTATTCTCAAAATAGAAATGTGCTAACAATGGGTGACTAAGAATCAAGACGAGATCTATCAGTTCAAGCTGGTCCTTTGATACTCTGTATTATCTGAAGCACTTTTCAATTCCAAGCAGATTACAAGAACAGATTCTCCCATGTAATTTCCATTAGATTTATCAGCTGGGCTTGGCAGAGGATCTCTTGCAGCTAAAGGTCTATTATCTTTAATTAACTAATAACTTTCACATTGTTCTTGAATAATGTTTTCTGTATTCAGCAGGCCTGGAGAGACTATATAAAGCACTCTGACTCAACAGCCTGCAATTAGTAGAATGTTGTCTTGAAAAAACCCGTGATCTTAGCCCTACTGGTCTAAATCATCTCTTCAGCAGAGAAACATTAAATAGTCAAAGTCATCAGCAAAATGCTGAAGAACATGCTTCAGAACAGGTACAAGTCTTTCACTAAATTAAGCCATTTCCGATGATTTTATATTAGCCTGACACAAGTTTCCCGTTTCTATTTCCTGAGGATAAGTTTCAAATTTGAGTTTAATTTTAAAAGTATTCCCAGTGCAATTGAGTTGCCTTGAATATTTTCCTGTATGTGGCACAGAGCTGCTCAGCTAAATCAGCTTTTTCAGTCTTTCTTGTCAGATGCCATCTAAGTGATAAATAAAGGGCTTTTAAGTGAGTAGCAAAGCTTTCATTCCAGAGCAACAAAGAGGTCCTATGTTTTGCTGTCATCGATGGAGTTACTAGTCAGTCCCTTCATCCTCTATTTTCAACACTTTTCTGTGAACCTGACTGCTGAATGTGACAACGAAACAATTGGATGAAAGCATCACTGACCACACTGTTAATTTACTGTTAGAAAGTATTTTTATTTGTGACGGTAGTTTCCTACAGATAATGTATTTTCTTGGAAGATCACAATTTTGTAATTCAAAGTATAGATCTGTCAACTGTCCATTGAAGGCTGGGAAAGCTGTTTCCCCTCAGAAGGGATTAGAATATATTGATATGAATTATCCCACAGGCTGGAAAACAACATACTGTTTTTATAAACCTCACTGTGTTCAGTAAAAATAAAATAACAGAATTATTAATACCACAGAGACACTCGCAGCCTAAGGCCCGAGTCTGAGGAAAATGTGGATCAGCAACCCAGGGTCTTTTGACTGCTTCAATAAAACAGAAAAATGAGGAAAAAGAAAATGTCCCTTACTCAGATGGAGCTGCTTAAGTGTGTTTGACTTTCCTTGTTGTTACTTGTTACTCTTCTGCCAGGTCCTACCCACTCCCTAAACACCTGGAACAATCACAGTCCATGCAGGACATAGGCACACAAGGGACAAACAGAAATCAAGAAAGAGGCAGATGGATGACCAGTATGGGTGAGCAGGAGAGAGATGTCCCCACTCTAACTACTCACACCTTCAGCTACGTGGTACCCATCTACCAGTGTGAGGAACAGGGGGTTCAGGAAAACCAGAAGTACCTGAAGGGACAGTCTGTGTTGAGTATATTGTATGAGAGAGTCCCCTCTGAGGGCCTGTGTGCTCATTTTGAGTAACCATTGCCGCCTGAAGCAAGAAAACCAAGGGCATGGTTCCTCCCTCAGCAGGATCCAGGCTCCTACAGAGCTTTTGTCTCAGCAGGAACTGGAAACCAAGAACTACACTGTCAAAGGCAAGATTTTTCTATCTCAGTGCAATGCAGAGACTTCCAATTCCTGATTGCTTCTGTGGTCAGATTGTGAGTCTTGCCTGCTCCAGGAGGGAGAGTTTGGCCCATTGATGCTGTTTGATATGTAGCTGCTGTTTGCCACTAACCCACAAAAGCACAAGGTAGATTACAGCCCTCCTTGGCAGGTTTGGACACTGGTAAAGGGTAAGAAAATGCACATTCTTCCCAGAAGGTGAGGTCAGTCCTCTCTTGAAGAGTGGCACTTTCTTAGCTGTCACTGAGCCCACAGCTGTCTGCTATAGTGGCAGGACCACTGAGGCAGCCCACTGCACTGGGCTCCTGGGAACTCAGCAGCAGTGGCTTTACTGTTCACCCCCAAAATGGAGACAAACTTTTGACCATATGAGAGCAAGTACTTGGCACATCTGTATCACCCCCATGTTGAACACTGTGCAAAAACACAGACTCCATCATTTCTCTTCCCAGAAGAAGGTATGGACTCCTGCTCACAACCTCTGCAATCAGGTGAAGTAACAGCTTGTGGCTACACCAGGATTGTTCCTTAATGTATTGACAGGTGTACAGGTGGTTGAAGGCTCCATTCAGATAATCTCAAAGCAAACTGTGCACACACAGATACACTGCACATTGCACTCACTGAGTGGAAAATTTTACCCTAAAATGGAACTTCTATGGAGTCACCAGGAGATACAACCTGTGTAAGATTCACTTCTGGGATTTGAGGTACCAGAAAAAAAAATGTTATCACTGCACTTCAGATTAAGCCAGAAGAGTGCCTCTTCCCTTAGCTGAAATCAGAACTACTGCAACTTTTTTACTATGCAATGGGAGAAAACAATATACCAGGAGGAAAGATGAGTGTACTAATGTGCTGTCCAAAAAAAATGCTGTTTATATCTAGGTTAGCTAAAGGCACAAGACTAAACCATTAAATGGAAAACTCCTCCTAGGAGAGTATTTCCTCTTATGAAAGGAGATGATTGCATATTGAGAGCAAAGATAGCTCAGCACAAATGCGATTTAGATGATGGGATGCTGGGTTGTTTTTAGATTACAGCACAGACCAGATGGTGCCAATCTACTGTGAAGGTAAGGCCAGAAGTCAACTGAAATTCAACTAAAAAATGGGAAATTATTTGGGGAATGAAAAGAAACAACTATGCAACAGTAGGGTTTAAAGGAAAGCAGTCCAGGAAACTTCTGGTGAGTTTCCAAGATCCAGTGAGTGCTGAAATACCAAGATCCAGTGAGTGCTGAAATACCATCCCAGCTTCCACTACAGCTTACAGTTAGGGATGTCTGAGTCCATCAGATGTTGCCAGAAAAAGGCCTGTATCCTGCGCCATGCATCTTCTTGTGCTTTAGCATGCTCCCTCCACTGCCCTCCCCAATGCACAAACATCCCGAGCACCCTGTGGATCGAAACTTTGCACAGAGGCAAGTATGGTGGCTCCAAGAGGTGCCCTGCTCCAGGATAGGAGTAAAACTCCACCTGCCGGCCGTGCTGCTGAAGGCGCTGAGCAGCATCCCGGCAATAGAGGTCACTTTTCCAGTTCATGTCATCCAGTCCAGACAAGAAGAGGAACTTGGCTAAGGACTTCTCCACAGGAATGCGACAATCCCAAGTTGCTGGGTCCATGTGATCATGTAAGACATCTGAAAAGTCTACTAGTCCAGACTCATCACTGATCTTCATCCTTCCCAAGTCATATGGGTGGACAGGAAGAGTGAAGCCATCCCCCTTCAGGGGAATGAAGGAATTAAAACTACTTCCAGATATGCTGACAGCTGCCTTGATGCCAGGTAGAAATGTGGCCATGGAAAGCGCTAGATCACCTCCTTTAGACAAGCCCAAAACACCAATCCCAGTATCTTTCACCTGAAACAGAATTATGAAAACAGTATTATTAACTTCTCTTTATTCCTTGAGCTGACTTAACCTCTTCAGTTCTGCTTTCTCACTCATCCAGCTATGACCACTCATATTCTGCCCCTTCCCTCTCTCTGTTCAGGTTATTATTACTCCCTCATCTATCCCTCTGCTGAGTGACTGTGAATTCTACAGCTCCTCAACATTTCTCCTCCTGTAGCACATTTGCCTCCTGGTGACCTGTATAGAAAAAGTGTCCTTGCTCCCTCCACATCCCAGTTCAGCCTGCTCTCAGTACGGTGTGTCCTACTGCTCCTCTCTCCAAGCCACTTTTTCCTGGGTTTACTTGCATTGGATTTCTTCATTGCAGCTTCTTCTATACTCTCTTACAGCTGACCTGTTATTTTCTGTTTTGTCTTGGAAGACATAATGTTCATTACACCTGAGGCCAAGTGAGCCCAATAGCATTTTAAATCATCTTATTTCTAGTGAAGGCCCTTCAACATTGAATTCTGGATGTTTCAGTGCTCTCTGAGGAACAAGACAAACGGGCAAAGCTGAATTCTGTTCTCACACTGCCTACAATCCTGGCGTCCATGTGATAGAAAGTAAATAATTTTGCAAAACAAATACACATTAAGTAGCATTGCATTAAAATTTTAAATGCTACTTGATTTCTCTTGGTCACTTTTGAGTTAAGTATGATAATACATTGCTATAAAGCGTCTTTCTTGTCCCACACACTTGTTCAAATTCAGTCTCAGCTTCTTAAGATATGTCACACCTCCAGTGCTACAGCTGTAAAGTATTCTGTTATTAGAGTGGTTTATTATTTTCCTGCAAAACTTACTCAGAATCAAAAGCCTGTAATATCTCAGAAACAGTAAAAACTCCAAAGGATTTTTTCCATTCTACAATCTTAAAAGATGCAAAACTAGTAAAAAAATTACTATTTCCTGCTTAAGCAATTTTGTACTTCTAGTCTAGGAACAGATTAGCAAACTGGAAAATAGTTTCAGGAAGAGAACCAGAATTTGCCTCTTACCTGCTGCTGCTTCCGCAAAAAATTCACAGCCTCCTCAAAATAGCTCAGTTCAAGAACCTCTGGCATAGCAGGGATATCTTCAAAGGACATGTAAGCAAGAGCCAGAGTCACAAAGCCTCTGCTAGCCAGGAGACTTGCTCTGTATTCAATAAGACCTCCTCCAGATCCATACAAATCAATAAGTCCAGGGAATGGGCCAGGTCCTGCAATGAAAGGAGAGTGTATACATAACCAAACAAAAAGTTCCTATGGGTGTCCCTTCGTGGTGCCCCCTCAGCACATGTCAAGAGAGTAGATATCAGAAGAAAATCATCCTCTGGAGCTTTCCAATGGTGGGTATCATTCTCAGGAATGCACAAAATGACTGTAACTACATAAATTCACACATTTCTTTTCTCTCTTAGGAACTCATTATAGGAAGTTCACAGGTTGGACATCCTTCTCTCATGCTGAATTTCAGCTGGCATTGGCCTACAAGTCCTCAGGCCATTGAGGATCAATGAAGAAACAGTATTACTGCAGGAGTGGCTCTTCCTATGCTAGCAGTTATGCCATGGAGGGGATACTTGGGTTATGAAAGATACAAATGTCAGAACTGACCTGTGCCAATTCAGGCTTCAGTAAGATCTGAGTAACTATCCCTGAGCTCCTCAACCCTCCTGCAGCAATAGGACCTTCCTTTCCTGATGCTGGTCTGCCCATTCTCATAGCCAGATTTCTCTTACAAGATGTGGTGTTGCTGCAGCTGCAAAGGGCTGTTTGTTAATTACAGAGCAAGATAGCAATGTTTAAGTGCCATTCAAGGAACAGAAACACTTCAGGCTTAAAGCAGCTTTGCACAGGATCCATTCGTAGCACTGTCTGTGTACAGAGTTGTAAAATATAGCACCTGTTTAATTAAAGATCTTGCTTTTCCCATTTGTCTTCCATCTCCCTAAGTATCCCATGCAGTCCAGCTGCTCATTCAGGAAAAGGCATCTTTCTTTGGCTTTTCCTTAGCTAAAGAGAGACACAGAGAAACAGGTCCAGAACCTGAAGGAAGATCTGTAGCAGCTGCTGAGTTCTTCAGCCTAGGCTGGCTGCAGCCTGAATCCAGTGCTCCCACCATGCCTTGTCATTCTTTACTCCACAGCCAAAGCTGTCATACATCACAGCTCTGCCAAGGACCAGGGGCCTCTTTGTCCTGTCAGCTAAACAGAAAAGCTAAGAAATAAACACACTTTTGGACAAAGTTCTCACTGCAGGAGAGGTCAAGGCACTCAACTAGAACAACCAGGAGACAGTTTGTGTTACCACCGCTGCCCTCCCTGCACCGCCACACCCCTGCCTTGGCCCTTGCCCCGCCTGGGCAAGACCTGCTCCTCTTTGCTCTGCTGTGATGATCCAGGTACCTGGACCAGGCACAAGCACAGGAAGTGTTGGCTGAGCCTCTGCTCTGGGTTGCTGAGTGCATTCAGGGACCACGGGGCATAATACGTGCTGTCAGTCATACCTGAAAAACCAGAACGGAATTAAAACTCACCAGGAGGGAGGAAGAGGGTTGCTCTGAGACGACCTTCTCTGACCGAAATCCTCTTCACCCCCTCTCCTAAAAACCATCGTTCATGGGTGTATTTTCCCAGCAAGCGGCTCATGTCCCCGTGGCCCTCATACACTTCCAAGTCCACACAGAAAGGAGTCAGGACGTTCCTCTTTGCCAGCCGCTTATAGGGCGTTTTGGACTGCAGAGCCCAGAGCAGCCCCATCGGCTCCACTCCCAAATAGCTGCCCCCCAGCGCTGGGGAGCGGCTCAGGTCCAGCTCCCCGCTGCTCCCAGCCCTGTAGAGAGCGTGGGCTTGGAAGAGCTCCCCGCTCTCGTCCAGCAGGCTGGCTCGGAGAGTGACCGCCTGCTGCGGCTGCAGCCCGGCCACACGGATCTGCACAGGGTCATCGAACAGGCACCTGCGGGAGGGCAGGAGGGACAGCCGCGCCGCCATCGCAGCCCGGCCGCACCGAGAGCTGCTGCCCTTCCCTGGGGCCAGGCACGGGCACCCGCAACTGCGTGAGACACGAGCCGCAGCGACCTGTCCCTCCTCGGGACTAAAACCTCTGCTCAAAGTCCACGAGGGATCATCGTGACCACTTCCTTCAGTCGGCCGGCACAGGCTGCTGGGACACGTAGTTCAGAGCGCGCCTCCCTCCAGATTCTCCGGCTCGGGTGGCACGGGGACACCGGCCACTTGCCCGGGCACAAGCTGTCACTTGTTCTGGGCGAGCGCTGTCACTTAGGATTACAGAGAGAGAATAAATTTAAAACCTCAAAGGCAGCAAAAAGAGATACCCAAACTGCCGCGCCCCCCAGCTGCAGGAAATTCCAGATTTGACTGCAGAACTGGCTTGGGAGACTTTGCCAGGGCACAGTAAACACAAACGGGCTGGAAAGCCTAAGTAGCGTGGCATCTTAATCTAGCCACGAAACAAAGCCTGCTCTTGATCCCTCTCAAGCTTTCTGCAATTTTGGGTAAGCACCACGAGTTCAAATGAAACTTCATGCTATGTTTCTTCAAAAAAGCAAAAGAAACAGACAAAGTAGAACAATCACTGTATTTTTCTTCCCAATAATTAATTTCCCCATATTGATAATGTTTCTAATGAACTGTTTGAAGATTTGACAATAAACATCACCTTTAGGTTTTCATAAACAACACTACTACATTTTTGCAATGTCTGTGAATTTAACAGCCTTCTAGTCCTACCCTGGGGGTCTCAGACTTGTGAGTAGTCTCATCCCATTCTGTGGAATATAAATAGGAATCGTGGCTGTTTGAACCAGGCTCCTGGTTAAAACAACTTGCCTGACCATGCACTAAGCAGCAATTAATGGCTGCTTATTATTCCTTAATAAAGGAGGGAAACAACCAATGAGTTTACAAGCTGCAGAATCACACCTCAGGCCATGAGGCCACAGATATGCAGATAAATTGCAGATCTGGCAGAGCAACTCTAAAACCATCCCTCAGGGTGCAAGAGAATGCAGCTACGTTTAAATACAACCGCGAAAAGAAATAAAAAGCAGCAATAAAAATGTGTTGCTTTTATTGGAAAATAGCCAACATTGACTTCTGCATGATGTCCTTCAGCCATTGTCTACTTCGGAAAAAAAATTAATACAGAAATAAGCTTTAAACGGACCTATTTATTGCAGAAGCTGTAGATTTTCACCATCAAAACACCATAGCCACTGAACTTAGAGAATTACAACAGGATAGACTTTTGCCTTAAGCAGAATGCATTGGCAACGTTGGACTGTTGCAGCCTGATGTATAGAGGAGATGCTTCCTTGTCCACTTGGGTTGTTATGAAAACAATCAGTAGATCTGAACAGTCAGGGCTTCTGTTTTGGGATTTTCAAAATCTGGATTGTCTCCCTTCACATTTTATTTTGCTCACCCGAAGTAACATGCAAAGGCCTAAAAATCCTATTATCAAAGTTCTACTTACAAGCCAAAAAATCTGGCTAATTGGTTTGGACTCAAAGAAAAATAGCCACGATGTGTTCAGCAGGCGTTGTTGACCATCATTTAATGTTCAGTTATTTTTGGGGGAATCATGTTTGTACTCCAGTCACAGATGCTGATGATTGTATCACATCAGAAACAGACATCACAAGCTCGAGCCTCCCACTTTTGCTACAGCATTTTCACAGTTTTTGTGAGACAATCTAGTAGTTGATAATAGCTGTACTTAATGTCATATTCCATGTCATACCAATAATTCACTGAGGAGACAAGAAAAGGGAAAACATTTCAAGGCTAGAATGTAATGATTTACAAATGTGTTCATAGACTGTTATACACAGTTCAGTTAGTACAGGCTTTTCCTTATTATTGACTGAACTTTGAAATGAGCAAAGCTTTGACTACAGACAAAAATAATGTAAGCAAACAACAGAGCTCTTCAACAGTGCTGCCAGTGCAACCAAGTCTTAACCCAAAGCAACTTCAGACTCTGCACTGGAGATTCACTGGAGCAGAAGACAGCAAAAAACCTTAGGAACAGTATGCTTCTATTTAGAGAAAAAGTACCAAATTGCAAAGTTTAATATCTGGATGGGAACCTCTCTTCCTGGGTAAAGGATGGCAAATTCACCACTACCTCACAATGGTCACCAATCAGACAGTGCTTTAATTCTGCTTCTCTTGCTAATTTTGTGGTATGTCTCCTAGGAAAATGAAGCCAGGCACTGTAATATTGGACTAACGCTTCTTGGAGGAGGATATGCTCCAGCTTCAGACATTCACCAGACTAGACCCAGACAATATTGATTTTTCAAGTGCATACAGACTGTACTGCAGTTAACAGACTAAAGGACAAACAAACTCAAACTCTTGGTATTTCTGCAAAACAGAGGAAATAAAAAGTGGCCAGGGGCTTGCAGCTGGAAACAACTCCACTTTTTCAAAAAAAATCTTTAAGGACTGATGCAGCAGCACTGGGAAAAACAAATCAGAATTACTACTTTACTGCTAGATTGTCTTTTTCTCACAGAATCACAAGAACTGAAAAAAGGGCTTGCAATATTTGCCGTGTTACACAAATACTAATGTTACGCTGTTCAAAAGAACTTTTTTTCTTGAACAGCATAATCGGGATTATTCCACACAAAGGACAAGCAAAAATTCCAGAAAAAATCTCTTCTTCAAAACTTGCAAAACATAACAATAATACTTTGCACCATCCCCACCCCTCCCTATGTACCAAATGAGCACTGACTGAAATTCTGGAATTCACTTGAGGAGAGAAAAAAAAAAGGGAGATAAAGAGAGGATGATAAATCCTACAAAGAAAGTGATGACAAGACTTCTGGTAAGAGCAGGGGAACATTAACACAAACACAACCCTGTTAGCGAGGCAAGAGCCTGTGTCAGAGAAGATTTCAGCTCATATGAAAACAGACTATCTTCCATGTTGTGTTGGCAAAACTATGAGTTATAAGCAGAACAGGCTGCAAGGAGGCAGCCCCATGGGATCTGTCAAGATTGTTATTCCCTTCTGCAGAGAGGCAGATAACAAAGGAAACTTTGATCCCACTGATGCTTTGCTGTGGAATATCCATCTGCACACCCACCACAGTTCAAAAACTTATCTGGAAATACTGTCCATTTTACCTGCAATACAGCCATGTGATTGCTGAACATGGTGGAACCAGAGAGAAGGCAGATATAACATCTCACCAGCTTTCACTGTACACTGCAAAGGTTTTGCCTGAGCATACTCTGGGTACAGTTCTAGATCTGGGTTCAAGGGGTCCAGAGGGATCCAGGGCACCTAAAGGCAAGAGTGTGTATATGTGTATATATGTATACTCACCCTGGCAAAAAATTCCAGCAAGCTTCCAGAAAAACAACTGAAAATCAAACTCACTAGGTTACAAAACATGTACTTTGTCTGGCAAAACATGTCCAGCTACACAGCTTTCCACATTCAGTGTGGAATAGGTCAAGGATGCAAAGATGTGCCTCCTTCAGTGACGCATTTCTGATCAGAGAAAAGGCAATAAACGTCATCCATGAAACTGCAGTCTCGTGGCATTCTTTCAGAACATCTCCAGCCCCTTAAGCTGCTTGTTTCTTTGACATTCAGTACTTAAACACTCTATCTGCATCACTCTTTTTAGAAATTCTTTTCTTCTTTAGCTCTCTGGTGTAATTTTTCTCCCAGCAGCTACAACACCCCTCCTTGCTGGGAAGTCCCTCTTGCCTGCATAAATTCTTTCTCTGCCCTACAGAATTATAAACCTCAGCATTCCAACCTTGCTACATTACAGGAATGAGATTCCATGAGAACCACTCTGGAAACTGAACAAGCCCCAGTTCAAGTTCTGTTATACATTACTCACACTTTGCAGATGCAAAAGGCAAGGGATTAATATTCTGCTGAGGTTTGTAAAGTGCCTCCAGATCTAAACACTTTAATCAAATAAATGTTGCTACTATAAGAAAATACAACTTATTCATTCAGACAGGTATGTTTTATTGCACTGGGTGATACAACTGTGGACCTAGGTAGAAGGTCAAAAGAAAGTGAATGTAGAGGGATCTATTTCAGGCATAATTAAATAAATTCCTTTATTGTTGATGCATTCAAAAGCTCTTTAGTGGATCTACTCAAGTCTGGTGCAAGGCAACACTATGATATTAATGGTTTCAGGTGTGTAGTAAAAGATTTTTCTGGAAGCTGAGTATCCTTTGCAAACAGCAAAATACAAGTGAAACATCTGGGCATTCTCTTCCCAGTAAAAAAGGATTTCTAAATATCCATCAATACGCTTAGTTTGAGGGCTCAGCAATGCGTCAAATTCTCCTTACTGTATTAACTGCATTCTGTATAAACTTTTTACCTTCTCTGTGGTCTTCTCATCCACAATTTCAAATGAACCATCTTCTGATACGTGATAGGTTGCTGGCTGATAGAGCTCTGGAACCAGAGAAAGAATTAAATTACACAATTCAGAGACCTAATTGCAGTGCATGTCACACTTTCACCAAGAAAAATTAAGTCAAAACCATTTTCAATTTCCTGTACTCACTATCCTTCCCTTTTTCATTTCAAATTTTATGCAGTTTCTTAATATACCTTTTTTTCCAGTCAGTCTGAATAATACTTATTCTCCTCCAAGCCCATTTGTATCCCAGTCATATTTTGTTGCAGTAACTGTCTTCTTTCCTTTTCAGAAGTCATAAATGCACCCCTGACTTACACATCATTCTATAGTTGGGTGTTTCATCTTAGGTCAGTCTACCAAAGAGGCACTCACAGGACTTATTAGTGGCTTGTAGCCAGCCTTTCATTTCTAATTTTAATTGACAGGGCTCATCAATTGCTTCAGATACTGCTGTTTGCTTTTCTTTCATTGCTTCAGCACATGTGGTTTTCTAAGCCCTCCCTTGAGACAATTTCTCTCCATTAATTATGCTCAAAAAGATAGAATTCTCTTTTTGCTACACACTATGGAATGGAAGCATTATCTCTGTTCTGTGCTTTAACAGTAACTTGTTTAACAAAGCAGGACTCCTACAACACACATATATTTCATACATTCACATACAACACCACCTGTCCAAGAAAGGCTGAGGAGATGGGGTTGCTCAGCCTGGAAAAGAGAGGGTGCTAGGGAAATCTCATTTTGGCCTCCCAGTACCTAAAAGGGGCTTATAAGACAGACAGAGAAGGACTTCTTACCAAGGCCAGGACAAAGGGTTAATGGTATCAAACTGAGACAGCATAGATTTAGTTTATATAAAAGGAAGAATTTTTTAACAATGAGGCACTGGAACAAGTTCCCCAGAGAAGTTGTGGATGCCCTGTCCCTGGAAGTGTTCAAGGTCAGGCTGGATGGAGCTTTGAGTAATTTGGTCAATTGAATGGCAGGGGCATTGACTCAATGATCTTCAAGATCCCTTTTAACCCAAACCATTCTGTGATCCTATGAATTCAAGGTTGTAAACAAAATTAAAACATTAAAAAAAATATTATAGCAGCACACATCTAGCCAAAATTATATTTGTATCATAGCACTCTGCATTCACTTAGCCTGATGGTTTGAAAGCCAAGGAATGGCAAAATTAAGTCTTATGAGGCATAAAGTTAAGCTGTTCATCTTCTAGATGACACTGCAATAGTAACTACTGCTGTGCACATAAGAAAGCAACATAAAGAAACAGAAAACCAGCAGTGTGAAGCAATGCTGCCATAAGAACCTCTTTCTTCATTTCTCAGTTGTCAGAGATTCAGTTAGTAGCTTGAATATTTCATTAAAATTCAACTAAATTTTTTGCTTCCTGGCTTTCTTTTTTTTCCTAGAGAAAAGCAGGTAGTCAGAATCCAAACAAGTAAAACATCAAAGATGACATGCTACAACACTGACAAAATACTTAAATAATTTAAATATTCTAAAGTTGAAGAGACTGCCATGAGTATCACAGGATCAATTAGGCTGGAAAAGATATGAAGAGATGAGATCTGGGATCACCTGAGATCATCAAGTCCAAGCTATGACTGAACACCACCTTACCAACTAAACCATGGCACTAAGTGCCATATCCAGTCTTTTCCTTAATCACCTCCAGGCACATCCCCCTGGGCAGTCCATTTCAATATGTAATCACCCTTTATGGGAAGAAATTCCTCCCAGTGTCCAATCTAAACCTCCCCTGGGCACAGCTTGAGACCATTATCTCTCCTTCTGTCACTGGTTGCCTGGGAAAAGAGCCTGACCCCCATCTGGGTATAACCTCCTTTCAGGGAGTTCTAGAGAGTGATAAGTTCTCCCCTGAGTCTCCTTTTCTTCAGGCTAAAAAACCCCCAGCTCCCTCAGCTGCTCCTCATAGGAGCTACCCTCTGGAACCTTCACCAGCTTTAATGCCCCTCTCTTGACTCGCTTCAGTATCTAAATGTCCTACCTGAATTGAGTGGCCCAGAACTCGGCACACAACTCAAGATGTGAATTAATGAGCTCATTACTCTACTGGACTGGAAAACCTGGCCTCAGAATAACATTTGTATTACAAACTACCTGCAGCATGAAATAGAAGAAATTTCTGTTCACACTGGAAAGTGTAACACTGCATAAAGATCAAAATGTTACCACTGCTTCATTTTTTTCCACATCTTTCAGTGTTTTAGTCTATCCTCCTTTCAATCTTCAGACACACTGCACACCAAAATGATGTACCATATGGGATGAAGGGACGGTCACTTGGTGGATGCAGTAGAAAATATTTCTCTCCAGACACCACACAGTACAAGTTCTCATAATGGTCTTTATGTACTAGGATTGAGGAAAAAAAAAAAGACAGAAAATCATAGCTATTTACTTCTCTGCAGCAGAAACTACAGTAAACTGAAAGTATCAGCTTTCCTTATTATTATCAGACTGCTTCTCCCTCTTGCAACCAGTGGGAAAGTCACAATATCATGCTGTAGCAAATGCATTCAATGAAACAAATTGCCAGTGCCTTGCCTGACACAATGCCAAGTAGATGCACCCAGAGACACAGCAGCAGAAAGCTGCAGAAGGGCAGAATAAAGAATGCAAAAAAAGCATGTTAAAATAGAACTGCCTTGTCAGAAAAACCACACCATTCTCCTGAGCCACTAACTCAAAACAAGCCAGCTTAAACTTGTGCTGAAATCACCAGAAGATTTACAGTGACATAGGATACGTACAAGATGTCACAGCAGCTGACTCCCCAAGCCAGAAATTCACAGCATCAGGCTTCTTCCCTGTATGGTTAGGGAAAAGAGATATGACAACAACAACAACAAGAAATGTCGTTTTTAAAAGCATTTTAAATAATTTTCTGCCAATTTCTGCCTTATCACTTCCTTTATAACTATAACAGATTTCATTGCAATTAGTACTCTGTGAACAATCTCCTTCTACACTGCAAACACTGAGCCAGAACATGACTCCAGATCAGAGAGAAGCCACTCGATGTAAAGAAGGGTTAAATGACATTTTTCCAATTGTAAGGGTCCCAGTACACAACAGAGATACTGATTCCAGAGTAATTCAACCTCAAAACTTGGATTACTCTGTTAGGTATTTTACCACTTCTGCTTTCTAAGAGGATGAAACCAAACGGAGCTGTGGCATTCAGAAAGAGAAAAAAATCACCATGTAGTACCTAGTGTGACTGTTTTAAAGCTCCATGCAAAATATTTACTGAATATGAGAGAAATAGAGGGTTTACCCAGTGCCTCACTCATCCATGGTATGTCAGGCTGCACATCACAGACAAGTTCAGGAAACTCCTCAGTGAGGTTTGAACACTGCTTCTGCACATAGAATACGTTGGGAGAGGTCACTTTCTTCTCCACAATATCCAAAAAGTCCATGAAAGGCATCTGGCGTTCCTCTGGCATGACAAAACGGTCCTGGAACACTGCATCTGCATAACCATTTGGTGTCACTGCCACACTTACCACCTTGGGACCCACCACCTCCCTGCAAAACAAAGGTTTATATCCAGGCCTGCAATTAGCTCTTATATTACATACTGGTTATTTTTAAAACATGCTTCAAGGGCAGCAAAAATAAAATGCCTGTCTTTCCATGGATGGGTCTCTAGATTAGATTTTTTGCTGTCTGGTAAGGACTCTGTCATTCTGCTCCAATTGCTCCCTGCAGTCAAGGCAACTCTAGTTTCTTTTTCCTTTCTGAATTCTCTCCTAACAGGACAGTTCACAAAGGAGCTCCCTTTTCCTCCATGTAGACAGAGGGTCCTTCCTCTTCAGCCACTTCTTTTCACCAATCATGGCAGCATTTGATATTATTGTGGCCATTCAAATCAGTCAAAACCAAAGGCTCACATGCTCAAAAGCAACTGAGTAGGGAGAAGGGGTGGACAGAAACTGAAAGATATACACCCATGAGGCTAACAGTCCCTAGTTCCATAAGATACTTAGCTTTAAGCCCCATAGAATTAGATCAGACCCATATATTTTAGGTCTAACCATAAATCTTCTCTTAAAGGAGGACTTTTCTTTAAAATTTAAATCATTGTTAAAATGCTCATCATTTAGTTTTTTGAAGAAAACAAGGTGTGCTCAGTCACAAACAAGTCAGTCTGTTCTTATAGTGTTGCAGCCCCACTCCAGTTGGGTGCGCCTGAGTCTGTTGGATGCACACAGGCAAAACACCCACCCTCCTGGCTGCATCAGAACTGGGAGGGCAGTATGTGTGCAAGGAAGACACACCTGACCTTGGGACGACTGAACACCTTCATATAGAACCAGGAAGGAATTCGAGCTAATCTTACAAATAAACGCAAAGATTAACCAAGGGGTTTTTAGTGAGGTCACCTGAAATTGACCAGTCCTGCTCCACAGCTCGCTCATACCTCAGGTACGCTGAGGTCCATTTCTTCAGAGCCGGCCAGTGGCTGATGGCGTTGCGAATTATGCAGGGTTTATTTGGACTCACCCACTCCCGATAAAACTCCAGTGGGGACGGAGGCCTATCGAGATAAGGTACGGACTCCGGCCAGCCCAGCTCTGTCCAGGCAGACAACAAACAATGTTACTCAGCATCTCGGGACAAGCATCCCCTGCCAGCACACAGGCCTCAGGTGCCCTCCATGCATCCCGAATCCTCTGTTAAAACCCAGACAGTGTTAGGGGGGTTTCAGAGACACATGGAAACCTCAGGCCAGAGCCTGAGGATAAAGGGATGAGGGGCCTGTGCTACAGGAAGTGCATCTCCCATACAGAGGCGACACCACAGGGTGATTTTTTGGAAGCTGGAATAGTGCTTTGTTTTGCTGCTTTATACACAGAGAAACAACCATTAAAGGGCCAATTTCTCGAGTTTCGCTTTTCTTTTTGCGGCGGCCTTTCTGCTTCACCTTGACCTCGGAACCCTCACGCCGGCAGCACAGCGGGTGCCGCTGATCGCCCCACGCCGCTGCCGCTCGCAGCACCGGGCGGGCCGGGCCCCGGGGCGGCGGCGGGGCCGGCCCAGCACCACTGCCCGGCCCGGGCGGGGTCATCACCGCGGCCTTCCCCCCGGCCCGGGCGGGGTCACCGCGGCCTCCCCCCCGGCCCTCTCCGCGCCCCGGCGCTCACCGCGGGCCTCCCGCGGGAAGGCGGCCAGGCAGCCCCTCACGGCCCGCAGCGCCGCGCCCTCCGCCATGCACGGCCCGGCCCCGGAGGAGGCGGCCCCGGCCCGGCCCCGCCGCGCTTCCCGCCCCTATCCCCGCCCACCCCTTCCCCGCCCGGAACACCAAGCGCGGGCGCAGCTCGGTAACAAATGGTCACGTTTTTATTGAAACAGTTTAAGACACGAAGTACAAATGGATACAGAGTTAAAAACAGCTCCCTGGGGAGCCTCACAGTGCAAAAAAAAAAAAAAAAAAAAAAAAAAACCCACAAAAAAAAAACCAAAAAAACAAAAAAACAAAAAAACAAAACAAAAAAAAATAAACAACAAAAAAATTAAAACCCGACAAACGGAATTTTAAATTCTTTTCCCAAATAATAATAATAATAAAAAAAACAAGTATTACTTGACCTAAAGCCAAAGGTATAAAAACACGCGTTTATAAATAAAGCGGGAAGGGATTTCTGTTCGTGTTGTGAAGGAGTGAAGGAGCAGGGCAGTGCAGAAGGGGGAGCAGGGGTAGCTGGGGGTGCCCGCCCGGAGCCGGCGCGCAGGAAGGACGCGCGGAGCGGACGCGGCTGGTTCGGAACGCGGCTGGTTCGGAACGCGGCTGGTTCGGAACGCGGCTGGTTCGGAACGCGGCTGGTTCGGGACGCGGCTGCCCCGCGAGTGACCCCTGTGACACGAACACGGCCCCAGCCGCCCCGTGTCCTTCACAAGCACCGTCTGACACAGGGGACACGCCCGACTTACCCAGAGAAGGAAGCACCTGCTCTCTCGGGGCGCTCGAGAAGACCTGTCTGCCATTTCAATGAGGTTTTTGTCATTTAGTGTCCTGGATGCTACACATCCAAGGGGCTGGGGGGAAGACACTGTATACATGCATGAATTTACCAAGGGTGTTTAAATACCTGCATTTCTTTTTTTTTTTTTCCCCTTATATATAATTATATACATATACGTTCTTTTAAAAAAATTAAGTTGGTATGTTTCTACTCCCAAAAAGAAACGTCCCAATTCCTCTGAGTCGTGACGAAGTCTGCAAAACGGGAAGGCTGGGGAGGGGGCTGCTGTAAGGCCATGCCCCAGTCATCACCTGGGAGGTCGAATGGAAAGGAGAGGAAAACCTGAGAGAGGAGGTGGAAGAAAGGCGGATTTCCATACACACAGCTCCTGGGTGCTGCTGAGGGATGGGGAGGAGGAAGGTGTTACCTGTCTGCAGCAGGAATACAACAGTTTGCTGCCCTTTCAGGTTGCAGCCCTTCCTACTGTCCCAGTTCAAGAGAGCCCTTAAACAAACTGAGGGGTTCCACAGGCAAAGCAGCACTATTTACAAGATGGAAAAGAAACCTAAAACTTCTCATTTTGACCAGGAATGTTAGGTTGAAGGAGGGAAAATACATGTAAAGAGGATCGGTAGGTCCAAATTATTTTTTCAGGCTTTATGTTAAACAAATAATACAGGTATCTTGCTGTGCCTATGCTAACACCCACACAAACCAGTAAGAGGGCTCACAAGCCATTAAGAGGAATAGACTCAAATTTATTACCTCCTCCAACAAGCCTCCTCACTTCCCAGGCAGTTACCATTCATTATTTCTCTACCTGGTCCGATGGACAGCCTGCAGTGAAACATGTTCACAAGGTGCAAATGCAATGCATTTATGCTCTTTCTGTTCTGTAAACTAGAGGTTTTAGGAATATTTCCTACTGCCAGCAATAGGAAGTTAGCAGGGAAGAATTAGTTGGATCAGTCTTAAATTATAAAGAGCAACACTATCTCCTCACTCCTCTCAGCAACAAACTTGTGGCACCAGCATCTCCTTTACTGGGCTTCTAATCAACTCAAAACATCAAAGCCTTGAACAAGCAGCTCATGACTTTGCCATTTAAGAAAAAAAATAGTTGCTTAGAGAAAAGCAAAAGAAGAAGCAAGAGGCTCAATAGAACATACTAAAAACAAACTCCTTCCAATTCATCCTTCAAATACAGATCACCATCTCCAATTCCTATATCTACTTTCCTGAAGCCTTTTGGTACTGTATCATTCACAGGTATTGGCCAAATGGAGTTCTCCAGACCAACACTATCTCTACTTCTACTCTGTTTTCCTGAGTCTCCTACATATACTATTCTAAATTTATTTTCAACTACACAACCATTCTCCAACTGATCTACTTGCCCAACACTTTTCTCACCATCATTCTGATCAGATTTTACCTCTAGTTTTCGGTATGCAGCCACGAACCCAAGTAAAATCCATTCCAGGAAACAAAACCCTCTCTGATCAGCTTAAAAATCAGATTTGCTTCACACAATTTATTTCCAAGGAGCTTTGTTTCATACCTCCATGCCAGCTTTGCTGGTTGTTGCCCTTCACCTTTATGGTAATTTCATTCTTGCCACTTGGCTCTTCTGTATCATCTCTGACCTTTTTGTCACTACCTCAATGTTTAAATAATAAAATGGTATAAAATTGCACAAGGAAGTAATATAAAGGACCCTCAAACCATTATCAACAGTACCAAAATATACCTGGGTTCAAGGGACCGCTATTTTTCCTGAGTGTTTTGTGGCCCCAGTAGAGCATGAAATTTCCTGTATACTAGGACATATGTTCACAGTCTGAAAGTGGAGGAACCGGTCATCTCAAAAGCAAGCTTGACCCACTAACTAACTCCCATCACAGACCCAACATGACTGTTATCACACATTCCACTCACGGCATCTCCAGCTTATCTTTTCACTCAGAGAAACTGCCAGAAATTTCCTCTCTGGCTTCCAATTTGCCTTCCTTTGCAAAACCTGTCTGTGCAAGAGAAGCTGCCCATGGGACCAAGCACACCAGCTGCTTCAGCACAATATAGTGCAGAGACAGGACTAGAAAATAACCTCTTTAAAGTTTCAGTACAAGCCCATGGAAGGAAAGGTTAGCAAGGACACATGAAACATGATTAAGCAGATTTCAATTACAGGCAGAGCTGGAAAGTTCTCAAAGTGTTTCCCATACTGCCATGTCCTGAAGCACTTGACAATGATCAGGCAGCAAACCTGTAAGGAGAGAGACAGGACTCCAGATTACTTAGCCCTAGAGTTACTCAGGAGAAACAGGTTGTCCTATGCCAGTCTGGCCAGACCAGTAGAAAAAAGTCTGCACTGCAGATCTGCAGTGACAGAAAGACAGAGAAGTCAACAGACCACACTTCCAAATGCCACAGGGTTTCAGAGAGGCAGCAGCCAGGACAGTAAAGAAAACTGCCTCCACCCTGTAACCTCTGTAACCAAGTGATGCAGTCTGGCTGCCTCTGACTGACTTCCACAGATGCTAAAAGTCTCTCACCAAATTCTTGTTGCTTGCATCAGTTTTATGAACTGGGATTACACTGCTCTGCCTTAAAATAAATGCAAGACAGACTGGAGATGGAAGAAATAAAACACTTTGTGTATTTGCCCCTGCTGTTGAAAGGAGTGGGAATAAGGGGGAAGGTGCTGAAGAATCTCATTGGTTTAAATTTTTTTTCTTAGCTTATATCATTAACCTAAAAAATATCACTGGATAATTTTAAGCCACAAAAGACACAAGTTAGCATGGGTTTAGAGAAGCTCCACAAGGCAAAAAGAATATTGCACATACAAATGCAAGAAGAGAAGATTCTGTTTCTTAGACCAGAAATTAATGAAAACCAAAGAGGTGAGAAGTAGGGGAAATGGTGTTAATCACACCCCAAAATATCTCATTTGAAGTTATTAGGAAATAATTTTCTGAGGGGATTTGAAATAGCTTTACAAAAGGTAAGAGAATACTAGCTTTGCTGGGATGTAAATATTCCATTTTCATGTAAAGGCAAGGAGAAAACATTTTCCTATCACAGTGAAATGAATGAATGACACAGATGAGCTGTGGCACTGAAGATCTCTCAAAACCAGAGTTACCCTGTAAGAGATGGAAACCAGCTATTCAGTGTCACTTCTCCACAAATAAATCATAAAAACATCAAAGTCAATATCCAATTCCTAATCATGAAAAGTGGCTGAAACAAACTTCTGTATTGTATCTAAATCCAATTTTTAAAATGTCTGCAGAAAACCTGGTCTGAAGTATCAATGTAACATCAAATTCCAGATTAAAAATACCACTTATGAATTCATAAAGAAATCTCCAAAGCATGGCCCAAGGGATATAGGGTCTTTCCCTGGAGGTGAATGCAGATAAAATTCAGTGTGGGGACTATCTTGACACAATAGGAAAGCAGACAGGGTTGTCATAACAACAGCAGGATTACTGCAGGGAACAAAACTAAGGCAGGAAAAGCAAGAACAGCAAGACAAGATCTAAGCAAAGAACAGTTCATTAATTGCACAGACACTCCAGCCTGTCTCCCTGTTAGGGATTTATAATACAGAGATTGT